GGGGGGGGGGAACATACAGCAAATATTATTGCCCCTTTGTAAAAGCTAGCGTCAGCAATTGGCCACCATGGTTGGAAGGACATATAAACAAACCAATATTGCTTGCTGACAATTGTTGGAGGACAGCGTCGCTCTGTTTCAATGTACTTCGAGCACCATGATTCAACCAAGTGATAATGGTGCTGACAGCTCAGCTCTTTCTGTTGAGGCGAGGTCAGCACAAACGGAAATAAGAAAGAGACATATCAGTTTCTTGGGCTTAAACGCTGATAAGATAGAGATAAAGTGAGGCTGCTTGCATAAGTATGCGGTGAAGAAGGCAATTTGACAATGAAGCTGACGGACTTATAAGGAGGCTGAGAGACACGAAACAACAAAGCCACAGAATGAACAACGTGTGTTCGTTTGGAACATCACACGCTAAATAGCCCAAGAGCCTGGTCCCCGATGGTCTTGCTTTGCTTGTTATGAGAGGAGGGAGATGGTCTCGACAGGGTCGACAAGGACAACTAGGGAAAACTTGTCTGCGGCTTATCGCAGTGGCTGATTTACGATCACTAGTTAGTACTAAACGGCACCTGGTCTCAATTATTGGTTTCCATTCCGTGGTGAGCTATGACAGATCGTTTCCGCGCTTCTTCCCGATACTTGGGCCACTTTCAGCCTCTGAGGCGTTTTGCATGCCAGCATGCAACACTATGCCTGCGGCTAGCCCGACCTGCTTTCCGTGTATTACAGGAGGTGGTGACCAGCGAATGAAGCCGGGGTAGTAATGCCCGCTTAGATCCCCCCTTTTTTTCTTTTTTTTTTTAAAAAAAAATAAAAATAAAAATAAAAATAAAAATAAAAAAGACATCAAAGGAGGGGGTGTTTGGCGCCACTTGCCAGAGCCACCAGGTTGGCCAGTCGGTGTAGAAGTCTCCAATGACCGATAACCAACACCCACCAGGGACTGTGCGGCAGACGATAGGTACGCTTGTCCATAAGAGGAAAGGGTATGTTGATGAGAATCCACCTGTGGCTGAGCCAGTCCATGTTTGGGTCCTAGCGCAGCTGCACTAGTTCGTATTGAGAACCTAGCGTGGGCGGCTTCTCGCACCCGTCACTTCCCGCCGCTAGCGACGTACTTCGCTAGTCCATATTTGGAATCTAGCACGACGACTTCCACTGATCGACAAAATTTCCTTTCGAGAATCCAAGGAGAGTCTCCCTTTCCAAATTGGCTATTTCGTGGCCGGTGAAGACATGGAAGCTCTTCACATCGCTGCTCGATCCCAATATGACCAACCCACAGTGCCCACACCTTGTCTTTTAAGGTACGGGGGGAGGTTCTAATAAAGAAACCCGCCCTCAAAAACAAAAAAAAAAAAAAAAAAAAAAATAGAGCCTGGTCCAAGTGGCTTTTGACAGGAACGCTTATTGCTACCTGATTCCGTGGCGCTCTTGAAAGAATATGTGAATCTTTGCAAAAACAAGGTGGTCGGGGTTGCCTTTATTTGGACTCGCCTGGTAGAAGTCCGCTCCACGGCCGCTTCCGGGGGAACTTCCGTTTCCACTGGTATCAACGAGCATGCACCGTGCTTCAGGTCGAAGGTGGGGTGGTACCGTAAGGTATCCAATCGTGGCTCTTGAGCTGCGGACTGCGTCTTGCAGTTGGGCCAATATTATATTATTGCTGTCTCTATTCTCCATCTAGCGGTCTCACAGCCCAGTCACTTACATCCTACCACGACAATGCCGAGATGCACGCTGAAAGCCACGCAGGTATAGATGGAGAGGGCGGTGGCAGAAAGACATGGATTGAGTCCAGAGGAATGACTGGGCGGGGGTGTCTGCCAGCTGCCCATCAAAAGGTCTTTTATCCCTCACGAAAAGCATGGACAAAGACCCAAAACAAAACACTTCTTGAACCGTTTTATGATCTTCTCAATCACAAATGGCACCAATTCCGGCCTTTGAAAAGGCGGCATCGCCGCTGGAGCCTTTCCATTGTTCTACAACGCGACCTTCCGTGCCCAAGATGAAGCTCTTTCTACTCGCTTACCACCTTGCCGAGCAATACACCGCCGGATATATATACGTATGTACCCTTCTTAGGGTACTACTCTGCGGTGGCTTCGAGCGGCCGGGGTTTTTCACACCAATACAATCGTTAAAACAGATTTGGGAGACTTTTGTCAACGTCTTGTTACACTCGGAACAACCCTGCGAGCAGCTCGCGCAGTGGTCCAAGTTTGAGGGGAGGATAAAAGACTATAAGTTTGGAATATCCATCCCGTTGATCCCATTTCACATTAAGCTGGTTCTTAGGCCAGAAAAGAAGGGCGGTGTACTAAAAATAGGCTGGTTTTCTCGGATAATGAAATTGTATGTCATATTTGAGAAATCTGAAGGCTCAAGACGGATTAGACCTCAAATCAAAGTCAATGGGAACCTCTGGGGCATCTTCAAAGTTTCGACGTCCGGCATATTTTCTAGCGGGAAGAAGTAGCTTTATTATGGTTTATGTAAAGTCGTCACCTTCCGCGGCTATTGGCTATCCTGCATTTTGGATATTTGCTCTCAGTTTTCTACTTGGGTTGATTTGCCTGTTTTCCACCTCCCAGACGGGCTGAGCAGGGGCTTGAACAGATATCTGATATTACCGCGTCGCTCTCCTCTGGCCACTTCAGGTTACACCCAAATGGCAATTGCCAAGTCAAGATACATATCACCCTGAACTCTCGCCCTAAAACCGACCTCAGCATCAGAGCCTGGGTAAGCCCGTGGTATTCCACTGTTGGAAGGCCCTGCGGCACTTGGGGTGGAATTGAACACGAACGAGAGCATGGCTGTACAAGACAAGTGCCGTTCGTTTCAACGCCAGATGTTGTGAAAGCCCCGCAAGTTATCAACGGATAGGGATGGGCTTGTATGTAATTCATGAGCTGGAAATTGTGGTCCGTGGCCCGATGAAGATTGTTCTGCATAGATCTATTCTCTCGTCCGAGGCGTTTAAGCTGTTCGATTTGTTTGGTGTCTTCGTAAAGCTCTTGCTCAAGCGCGGCGTTGCGGCGTATAAGGGCTTTGATTTGTTCCCTGCGAGTCCCTCTGAGCGGTTTAATTTCCAGTTCGAGATTTTCGATGTACTGCCTAGTTCGTGCGCGCATTGCTCTCTGAGCCCTCTGTCGTTGGCTCTCTTTTGCTCGAGTTGTGAAGGTGTCAGACATGACGAAAACATAATATAAATACTAAAGATAAACACCATCACCTTAATGCATATTGCATCAATGATATTGAAGCTACCAATATCCTGATTTTATAGATTCTAATGAAGAATTTATAGAATTTGATTCATATATCGTACCAGAATCAGACTTAGAAGACGGTGGATTGAGAATGCTAGAAGTTGATAACAGAGTTATAGTACCTGAATTAACACACATCAGATTTGTTATAACATCTGGAGACGTTATACACTCATTCGCATGTCCTTCATTAGGTATAAGATGACTAGAAGTATTAGATACGGCCACCAGCCTCGACTGCGCGATTTCAAGGACCTGTTTACTTTTGGGCATGTAAGATTCTGCTTGCACTGGAAGAGATGTCCGAGGCATATCTGCGACGCAAAGGTGGTACTGCGACGGTGTGCAGTGGCTCGTCACCGCAGCAGCGATGGCGTAAAGTAGCGTACACGCGCGGAGTCTTGTGCTCTTCCTAGCGTCTTTTCTTCCGAGGGCAGCAATGAATAGAGATGAAAGCAAAAAGAGAAAGACGAAAACTGAGAATGCAAGCTGTAGGATAGTCGTTACCTTCCAGTCCATTGCGGAAGCGCATATGAGAGACGCCACACAGACGCTGCGCCGGCCAGGCAGACAAACACAATGTGCGGCCTTGCAACCCATATATAACCCACTGCACTTTTCTTTCTTTCCCTGGTTAGCCATTGGTCTGTGGTTTTGTGGCGTGCGTAGTAAGAGCCGGGCCGTCCCCAACTCCAGGCCCGGAGTATTTTCGCCAAACACGGCGGACCTGCTCTTGGGAACACCAGCTTCCCCAGCCCAGTCGCCTCCACCTCCGCCGCTCGACATCATAGAGCGAGACACTGAACCCTGGAACGACAATACCTCGGCGTCTGGTTCCATGCGCCGTATCGAGCTTCTGCCATGTCATCCGGCTGGCAAGTGTCTACGCCTGCGAGCTTCGCACAAGAGCAGGACCGTGCTGCCTCACGTCGCGGGTCACCCTCCATCGGGCCTTTGTCAGAACCAGAGACAACTGCCCGTTTCAAGCTTCAACTTCCGAGCGAAGAAGCGTGGGAAGAGTACTTGAGCTCAGGTACTGAAGCTGAACAGCGCGCCCGGGAATTCTTCTTCCGTGTTCCGCCGTCCAGTATACCAACGGTCACGGTGACCAGCATCTGCTCGGATTTCTACGCGACAGCAGCTTCTCACGGCAATGAATTGGTCAAAAATCTCAATCAGGCCCTGGCTTTAAGTAACGGCCGGGAGTCGCCGGAGGTCGTAAAGCTGAGGATGGTGATCCGTGTCTTTCGGCAGGTACTCGTGGGCGCCGGAGAAGTCTTGGTAAGAATCGTTGTCAATAATTGCAGCGACTCTAGGGACCCCCAGATACGTAATATTGTCGATTTCATCGATGATCAAATGGGAGCCTGTCAGCGCCTCTATCCAGTAGAAAGTTATGGGCCAAACACATCCCGATGGCAACGACTATTTTGCGTGAATCGTCGACAGTGGTTCAGGAACGGTATCAACTTCGACGAGCTGGGCAGTGTGCGTCTTGGATCCTGGGCATACGTGCTATATATTCTCAGTATGGGCAATCCCGCCATCCGCCTCGAACTGCAAGCATCCAGCTAATCTATAAACTAGTGAAGAACTATAGTTCAATTTCTCAGTACTTTACAAGAGACTGGTGTGATAATTTCTTTGACCAAGAGGAACCGATTTGCCCGCCAAAAATTACGGCAAACTGTCAATGCTTATCTCTCATCAACGTCCTCTTCAGAATTCTCGGCCCGGCTCTTGGGCCGCTTCAGATGGGCTATGACCAGTGTGTGCTTTGGCCAACTTTCATTAGTATATTCTTGTTATTGTGATTTATAAGCGGCAGCTTGAAACCATGCTGACACCCACACATTAGATACGAGCTGTTTTACAAGCTCCTCGTACGTGATGTCCTGGTGTACACTCTGCGGCACTCGGACTTCCGTGATTGGGTTCGGCAGGCTCCTCCACCGCCAATCCAAAATCCATCTATTCCAGTCACCACAGACTGGCCGTTCAGGTTTTTTAGCCTGCGGGGGAATGATGAGCTGCGAGTCTCTATTCGACAAAGGTTGCACAACCTCCGGGCGGAGACCAAGTCATTGCTGCCACGGTTTGATGGGTCGGCGTTGAAGCGTGGACTCAAAACCTATCCGCTGCCTGATAATGAGGAGGGGCTCATTAGAGATATTTGGAAGGTCATGGTACGTCGCTTTTTATCCTCGTGGTCCCTGGATGCCCACCATTCCAAGTCCACTAACAAGGGCACAGCGCGATAAGATACGTCGATGGATGGCGTCCCACGGGGAAGAGAGTGAAGACCTTTCGGACAGCGCAACGCACCCAAGCAAATGGCCAGTTATAGATCGATTGGAGCCCAGAGCGGCTCTGCGATGGGCGTCTGGGTATGCCTACTTGTCAATCCCCCTTACATTTGACAAGGAGCAAGACGTGGTTTTGATCAAGGGAGCAAATGCAAAGACTGAGAAATGCGGGCCGTACACGGTATTGGCTACATTGAAAGGTGTGAGTTTCCGGATAGGGTCAGATTTCTTATTGATACCCGTGGTAACACTTCAAAGATCCTGAATGGCTTCTAGTGCGTTGGAAAGTCCACCATTCCCATGAGGGATGACTTGCGAGGCAGGGTAGATACTAGATTGCCAGAACAGTCCCTAGCTAGCAGCGTATCTGTGAAATTCAACCAAATTATTTGATTTCCCTTTCGGCGTGTCTGTTTGCCTCATCTTGATACTCTGGCTTTCTCTAAGCGAAACGTAACATTGCCTTGCAGAAATTGAGCCCTGACCTGCTGACCGCGAATATGTTGATGGCATTTCACGTCTTCAGTTAGGCAGAATCAATTAAATGCGACAGCCCAGCCTCCTGATACGCCTTGGTGGCAAGTTCAATAGCCTCATAGCAGAGTGGTTTGCACTCCTTGTCATTTGTGTTCTTCTGGACCTGCAAAAGCCAGCCTGACATGAGTGCATTTGGCTGCTTCCCCGTTTTTACGCTGTTCTTGATCTGTGAGGCAAATGCGTCTGTTAGTCCCATCCTTTTATGCAACCCAGCGACGAGCTCACCATTTGTGTGTACACGGCCACAAACATGTAAATTTGAATGCGTGAGTTGATTCGCCCCTTGAGCCTTTTTGTGACTAGAGTTATGGCTGCCACAACGAGCTTTTCCCAGCCTAATATATGTGCAGCATGCTCGCAGAGAATCAGCAAGAGAATACAAGCCAGGGTATCATCTTTGAGTCTGCTTTGTTTGTTCTTCCACGCGGTAGAGGTCGCCGCTACAAATGCCTCATACTGTTTTGTGAGGTCCTCGCGGGAGTGGGTGTCCGAGTGCTGCTGTTGGCCAGTGAGATGTATCTGGCGAACGCAGTTGGAATGTTCTGACCCCTGATATAAAGATGCGATGATGTCCATGCATTTAATGAACAATCCTCCCAAACCATCTTTCGCCATCCGCCGGCGAGTAATGGGGATGAAGGTTGTATAGCCGCTGCAAATCAGGGTCTTCCTCCATTTTTCCTCGGGACTCAATTGTGACCGTTTGCGTTGGCAACTGTTTTTGACCAGTTCTTCGACGGTTTTGGTTTCATCGAGGAAGTTTGGGTCATATTCGCAGTCTTCTCCCCTCACAGCACATTGCCCACAGGTAGGTTTTTTTCGATCGCACTAGATTGGCCTAGGTCAGATACACTCAAACTGCCTATTTGAAAAGAATGTCTTTACCTTCACACGGCGTTTTCTGCACATCCGACAGCGCCTGCGCCTCTCAGGCCTTTCACGACCGGCCATGATTGGGATCAAATGCAAAGAAGTCTAGAACCTCGCGCTAGTAGCATGTATTTCGGATATTCCCGTTTTCTCTGGCAATCAAAGATAGACAACATACATTTGTATGTATATACAACTGTACGTACTTGCAAAGAACACATAAATCAAGACTTATAGCAAGGAGAACTGTGAAGTTATTTATAAACCCGCTCGTACTTCTGTACTTCTGGGTGATATCCCCGGTCTCCTGATCCCCCCAGGTAGACGCTCCGTCAGCCATACAGAGATGCTTCGAGCGACCGTTCGCAGGCCTGCATTCAATCTCGGCTGGATCCCTGTCAGAACGTGGGGCCTTGACCAAGGCCAGACATTATATTCTTCTTTAAAACTGATACTTGGACGGGAAACGAGGGAAGAATAAATACATCTCATGCAACTCGTCACAAGCCATCACGGCTAATAGTGTTAGCCGGCCTTGCAGGGTCCGCTTCCCCGATGCTGTTGTCAAAGAGCTAATAGTGGGTCTTCCCGATTTAGCATGTATTAGTAACAGAGCTCACGTTAATTACTCGAGGCGCTTATCCATTTTACTTGAGGCGCTTAATACCCTACTATACCTTAATTTTAGTCTAATAGCTTTATATTAAGTAAAGCTATTATATATTTATATTAAAAATATATTATAGGGTTTAATAATAAGGTTAACCGTAAAAAAATTAAAGTATTAACGCTTTAAGTAAAATAAATAAGCGCTTTAAGTAATTAATAATAAGCGAGAAGAGTTTAATAAATTAGTTCTTAAATTGTGTAAACTAACAATACGTTTATTCTCCTTTTTCTGCCTGTCGTACAATGGAAATATACAGTAGGCAGATCTCCGAGCGAACGATGTCAACGAATTCCTTCAAGTGCAAATGCAGATACAAAATATTTCCACTTCTCAGCTCGATAAAGCGGCTCTATGCACTATCAATCGACTAAATAATTATTTAAGACCTGAGGATCCCAGATTGTTAGACAAAATAATGACCAGGGTAAAGCAAAATTCCCATTCCCACATATGCCGCCCAGCCGAAAATATCCACGGAGTCCTGCAACAAAACAGCGGATTGGAAACCTTCAATAAAACAATGGCCATCGCAAGGGAGAGTTCAGGGACTAAAACCAACAAAGAAGGCGATGGACGCCGAATTGAACCAACCTTGGCGCTTGGGCATGCACATCGTCGTCTTCTAAAGTATCTCTTCACCCAACTAGGCATAGACAAGATTATCTCACAGTGGAATTGGGATCATTTCAACAGAAGTATGCATTGGAGGGCGTATGTATACGACAATGTTATTTTCGAAATTGATGGCGGCATCATATACGAGTGCGACGTCAGTGACGACGAACAGAACCTTTTTGACGCGAATAATTGGGGACCAAGAATCATCAGGCGGCAGATGATCGATCGTTGGGTTATTGAAACCACAGCGAATCAAGGGATACCAATTGTGAATACAATATTCTACGACAAACCGGAAAACGGCATTCAGTATCACGAGGACTGAACCTCATCTGGTGTTTGACAAAACCAATATTACGAATAAGACATCAGCAAACAGGACCAGTTTTGTATTTCTCAAAGACGGGCTCAAATGAAAGAGCAAGTCTATATGATGTTAACTAGTGGCTGGCCATTCTACGCTAAGATCATCCGCGGATAGGTGATTTCAATTTGATTTTCTTTAATAAGAGCATACAGTCTGGTCATATATTTAAGAGGTGGTGTTCATGACTTTCCACGCTTCCACCTCATACCTCACTCCTACCCACCTTCATTCCGGTTATTCTTAATATCGAACCGGCATATACCGTGTGTTGTCCTTCACTTTGCATCGTGTCGCCACTGAGGCTGCGCCCATTTATTTGAATCCAGCCTTCGCCCGGTCGAGTCGGACCTGTCCAACGCAAAATCCCCTTCTGGTCAACAGTATAGGTTGTTATCCCATTAACATCGATGGTGCCCGCGGTGGGTAGCTCGTTGAAATTCTTCCTGGGGGCATTAGCTGTGTTGAAAGAGACAAGGTGGCGTATGTTGAACCTTTTCCATGTCCTTTGCACCGGAATTGTTACGGTCGTGTGCGCGACGAGGAGATCGATACTATCGATACTGCTATTGATGGAAAGACAATAAAAGTCGCGTCGTTATTTTGCATACAGCGCCAAACACAATACTGTCCTAAGATTGTGTTGGGGACTAAGAGGTTCAGGGTAATCACAATGACTGTGTCAGGCGATTAGGCTTCGTCAAGCGTCAAGCTACCCCACTCTGCCAGAAGCTCGCGATTGTTATTCACGTGACGCCAGAAGCCGAGGTCGATTTTGGAGCTGATTGTCACGCCACGATGCAAGCTACTACTCGTGCCACGCCCCACCATTAGGTAATTCAGCTACAGAAGCTCTCACCACCTATGGTGGTGCTTATCACCAAGGCGGGCACATTAGCAAGGCGGGTAGGTTAGGGTTATAATATGTAAATATTTAAATATTTAAATAAATATATTATATTTAAATATATATAAAT